AAAATATGTAAAATTCTTAAAACTTGGCCAGCCAGATAGCTTAATGGATTAAAGTGCCCGCTTAGGCAGAGTGCAGCTGCGGGGTTTGATCCTTGGCATGCTGGCCCTGCCCCCAAGCCTGCTGAGGCAGTTATTGAGACTGGGTGTGGTGGCACATGCCTGTAATCCCAGCACCTGGGAGGCTGAAAACAGGAGGATCACGACAAGTCTGATCTGTGTAGTGAGATCCTGTAGACTCTGTACTAAATATATAAAAAACAAACAACAAAAAAACTGTGCTGGGGATATAGCTTAGTGGTATAAGTGCCTGCCTGGCAAGTGTGAGGTCCAGAATTTGATCCCCAGTACCAAAACCAAAACAAGGGCCAGCCTAATAGCTCAATGGATTAAAGTGCCTGCTTAGGCAGACACAGGGGCCGGGAGTTCGATCACTGGGCCTGCCTTGCTGGCCCTGCCCCAGAGGCATGCTGAGGCAGTGACTGAGACTGGGCATGGTAGCACACTCCTGTAATCCCAGCACTGGGAGGCTGTAAACAGCAGACTCACTACTAGTCCAATCTATACAGTGAGACTCTGTAGACCCTGTCCTAAGTACAAAAAACAAAACAAAACAAAAAAATTAACCTTCTACTGCAAATCACTATGAACTTAATATAAAAATTATTGCAATGCCTGCATGACAAGCACATCTTGAATTAGAGTCCTAGTACAAAAAAAAATTATCGAGTATACATAACGAATTACCTGATATTAGAAGCATCTATTGTACTCTTGATATCATTTAATGAGTCTGTAAGCGATTTGAACTCAAAGGAATTCAGGTCTCCTCCCTCTGCTAGACACTAATGGGAAAAAAAAAAATCTCAAATTGTAATGGAATTACATAGGTCAAATACAGACATAAGAATACTTGAAAAAAATATACAAACTGTGATTCTTCTAGTAGCAAAATAGCATACTTTGCTTCGTATTAAAATTAAGGAACTTTTTCCTGCCATTTACCTTAATTTGCAGTAGGATAGCCGTAAGTCTGGAGATTAAATCTGTAAGGTTTTCATTTTCAACACAGAGCTGTCCGGCTGAGGAGTTTGCGAGCCGGACAATCTCCTGTGCCTCTTCCTCACAGCGCCGCCGTAGGTCTGTGGGCTGATCGGCTGGCTGCAGCCCCTGATCTGGAGCCAGCTGAACATGGGAGGGAAATGGAGACGTATGTTAATCAGGCCTCTATCACTTCTGAGGGTCTGTGTCCTGGTTCAAATTCCATTCATTTTTTTTTTTTTTAAACAAAACTAGCGTTTGTACCTAAAATGATATACTTTTGCCTTGTAAATTTTCTTCAATTGTATCTTATATTTTTAACAACTTAATTGATTTAATTTCAAATGCCTAAAAGGAACAAGCCCACAAAAACTCTTCATAACTGATTTTCAGCTGAAGTATACTGGACAATTACTTGGTATAACACTTGGTGTAACATACCTCATTGGGTCTCTCTGTGTCTGTCTGTCTGTCTGTCTGTCTGTCTGTCTCGTATTTAGTTCAGGGTCTATAGGGTCTCACTACACAGATCAGATTCATAGTGATCTTCTTGTTTCAGTTTCTCAAGTGCTGGGATTATAGGCATGTGCCACCATGCTCAGTCTCAATCACTGTCTCAGTGCACCCCAGGGGCAGGGCCTGGCATGGCATGCCAGGGATTGAATCCTGGTCCCTGTGCCTGCCTAAGCAGGTGCTTTAGTCTGCTGAGCTATCTGGCTGGCCCCTAGGGTTTCTCTGGTTCCTCACACTTAATTTACGCATTTTTAGAAAAAATGTGATACTGAGTTCTTTTAGAAAAAATGTGATACTAAAAAAATGTGATACTGAGTTCTCTGTGCTTCACTATTAGAAGGCACAGCATGTTATGTAGGTGAGGTGAAGTTATGAGGAAAATAAAAATAGATAACAGATGGATAAAGGAATAAGAGAACCATGCTCAGAGTTCAGTCATAACTGACCACTGCACATTCACTCAGTTCAATCAAGTGGGTGGGTAACAGTACTGACAGAAGACCTGGGGACTTAAATGCCAATTGTTTAAAGATCTTCTATATTATAAATAAGAGGTAGTTTTACCACAAACACAGAACCTGCAACTGCAGGAGCATTCTGAAGTTATCTCAGTAAGTTAGTCGTACTCTGCAGTACCAAATCCACATTTTAGCAGAGCTGCATGCCTGTGGTACCTGTTCCTATGCAGGCACTGCCAATGTGCTGTTGCAACTGGACATGGACCCCATGATTGAGTGGGCTCTGGTAACATGTCATACAGCAGGGACTGTGGGCTGTAGTAGGGGAACCTGCAGAACTCTTGGGTAGAAATGCACTTCAGGGCTGGGGAGATAGCTCAGTAGAATAAGTGCTTGCCTGGCAAGCACAAGGGCCTGAGTTCAATCCCCAGTTCTGCCAG